TGTGTGTTACGGTAGATCGTTGTGTGTTACGGTAGATCGTCGTGTGTTACGGTAGATCGTTGTGTGTTACGGTAGATCGTTGTGTGTTACGGTAGATCGTTGTGTGTTACGGTAGATCGTGTGTTACGGTAGATCGTGTGTTACGGTAGATCGTTGTGTGTTACGGTAGATCGTTGTGTGTTACGGTAGATCGTGTGTTACGGTAGATCGTGTGTTACGGTAGATCGTTGTGTGTTACGGTAGATCGTTGTGTGTTACGGTAGATTGTGTGTTACGGTAGATCGTCGTGTGTTACGGTAGATCGTTGTGTGTTACGGTAGATCGTTTTGTGTTGCGGTAGATCGTTGTGTGTTAGGGTAGATCGTCGTGTGTTACGGTAGATCGTTGTGTGTTATGGTAGATCGTTGTGTGTTACGGTAGATCGTCGTGTGTTACGGTAGATCGTTGTGTGTTACGGTAGATCGTTGTGTGTTACGGTAGATCGTCGTGTGTTACGGTAGATCGTTGTGTGTTACGGTAGATCGTCGTGTGTTACGGTAGATCGTTTTGTGTTGCGGTAGATCGTTGTGTGTTACAGTAGATCGTTGTGTGTTACGGTAGATCGTTGTGTGTTACGGTAGATCGTTGTGTGTTACAGTAGATCGTTGTGTGTTACGGTAGATCGTTGTGTGTTACGGTAGATCGTCGTGTGTTACGGTAGATCGTTTTGTGTTGCGGTAGATCGTTGTGTGTTAGGGTAGATCGTCGTGTGTTACGGTAGATCGTTGTGTGTTATGGTAGATTGTTGTGTGTTACGGTAGATCGTTGTGTGTTACGGTAGATCGTTGTGTGTTACGGTAGATCGTCGTGTGTTACGGTAGATCGTTGTGTGTTACGGTAGATCGTTGTGTGTTACGGTAGATCGTCGTGTGTTACGGTAGATCGTTGTGTGTTAGGGTAGATCGTCGTGTGTTACGGTAGATCGTTGTGTGTTACGGTAGATCGTTTTGTGTTATGGTAGATCGTTTTGTGTTACGGTAGATCGTCGCGTGTTACGGTAGATCGTTGTGTGTTACAGTAGATTGTTGTGTGTTACGGTAGATCGTTGTGTGTTACGGTAGATTGTTGTGTGTTACGGTAGATCGTTGTGTGTTACGGTAGATTGTTGTGTGTTACAGTAGATTGTTGTGTGTTACGGTAGATCGTTGTGTGTTACGGTAGATCATTTTGTGTTACAGTAGATCGTTGTGTGTTACGGTAGATCGTTGTGTGTTACGGTAGATCGTCGTGTGTTACGGTAGATCGTTTTGTGTTACGGTAGATCGTTGCGTGTTACGGTAGATCGTTGTGTGTTACGGTAGATCGTCGTGTGTTGTGGTAGATCGTCGTGTGTTATGGTAAATCGTTGTGTGTTACGGTAGATCATTTTGTGTTACAGTAGATCGTTGTGTGGTACGGTAGATCGTTGTGTGTTACGGTAGATCGTGTGTTACGGTAGATCGTTGTGTGTTACGGTAGATCGTTGTGTGTTACGGTAGATCGTGTGTTACGGTAGATCGTTGTGTGTTACTGTAGATCGTTTTGTGTTACGGTAGATCGTTGCGTGTTACGGTAGATCGTTGTGTGTTACGGTAGATCGTTTTGTGTTATGGTAGATCGTCGCATGTTACGGTAGATCGTTGTGTGTTACGGTAGATCGTTGTGTGTTACGGTAGATCGTTTTGTGTTACGGTAGATCGTTGTGTGTTACGGTAGATCGTTGTGTGTTATGGTAGATCGTCGTGTGTTACTGTAGATCGTTTTGTGTTACGGTAGATCGTTGCGTGTTACGGTAGATCGTTGTGTGTTATGGTAGATCGTTGTGTGTTACGGTAGATCGTTGCGTGTTACGGTAGATCGTTGTGTGTTATGGTAGATCGTTGTGTGTTACGGTAGATCGTTGCGTGTTACGGTAGATCGTTGCGTGTTACGGTAGATCGTTTTGTGTTACGGTAGATCGTTGCGTGTTACGGTAGATCGTTGCGTGTTACGGTAGATCGTTTTGTGTTACGGTAGATCGTCGCGTGTTACGGTAGATCGTTGTGTGTTACAGTAGATTGTTGTGTGTTACGGTAGATCGTTGTGTGTTACGGTAGATCGTTGTGTGTTACGGTAGATCGTTGTGTGTTAAGGTAGATCGTTGTGTGTTACGGTAGATCGTTGTGTGTTACGGTAGATCGTTGTGTGTTACGGTAGATCGTTTTGTGTTATGGTAGATCGTTGTGTGTTGCTGTATATCGTTGTGTGTTATGGTAGATCGTTGTGTGTTATGGTAGATCGTTGTGTGTTACGGTAGATCGTTGTGTGTTACGGTAGATCGTTGTGTGTTACGGTAGATCGTTGTGTGTTACAGTAGATCGTCGTGTGTTACGGTAGATCGTCGTGTGTTACAGTAGATCGTCGTGTGTTAGGGTAGATCGTTGTGTGTTACTGTAGATCGTTTTGTGTTACAGTAGATCGTTGTGTGTTACGGTAGATCGTTGCTCTGATCTAAATCAAGGATTTATCCAGACTGGGAGAGTGACGCAGCCTGTTGAATGTGACCGGTAGCCAATCAGAAAGCGCGGATTCTCCTCCGGCTTTCTGAGGGGAAACATGGAGGGAATCCCGAACAGCTGACACGATGCAACCCGAAGTCCAGTAGACATCGGAAACAACATGAATGTTTATTCAACATTTCATGCAAAGAAAATATAAATAACTAGGGGAGGAGTTGGAGCGAAATTTCTACCAGAAAACCCGGTAACTTTTCAGCTGTTCTTCGTTAAGGTGACATAAATAGTTTATAATGATTTTCATTCAGTCAGACTGACACTAGCCACATACATGCAGGTAGATTGTAGTAAGGAATTGATTAATGCCTGGTTTCAAAGTTAGTGAACTGGACTTATTATTTTGTGTCCATTGTTGGACACAACACGGTTCGATCGAACCGTTATAGCGAGGATTTCTGTCGGCTAATGTCTCTCAGGTTTTGATAAAGGGCGACAATCGGCGACATCAGATGGTGCAGCGCGCTGGGCATTACACTAAGAAATAAGGAAGGGAGGGTCAGTGGAGTTGAGCCCTTTTTCATTCAGTGTCATCAACAGGAAGAGAAAAAGGCAGGAAGAAACGATACAGACGATAATTGAAATGACGTCGATAGTTTTAATTTATTGTGCGATGAATTGATTTATCGTTTATCGCTACAGGCCTAATTCCAACGTATCTCCTGTAAAATGGCCAACTACAATTTCCCCAAAATGCTGCATAAATAGCTGCACCTAAGTAGGTGGGGCTTGCCGCCTGAATGAGGCACCAGCGTCTCCTCTGATTGGCTGATTGATGAGCGTTGAATTATGAATATATGTAACAGTTTAGACCCATTGCTGCCATGGTATTTCATGCCTTATTGCATGAACAAGCTTATTCACATGTGATTTTTATTTTTTCTTGTTCAATGCAAAACTTACAACTGCAAAATTGTGTTTGTTCGACATTAGCGGAATATTGACAAAAATTTGCACATATTTGTAATGGGAATGCAGCTTATGTTTAATTTGTCAGTAAAAAGTTGATTGTGTCGGATGTAAAAAGCTTGCAGCTTCACAGCCGGCTGGACAGACATGCTGATGATCCCTGCAGGCGGAGCAGCGAGCGCTGCGCCCGTCCGCAGGGTTCAGATCTACAGTAAGAGGTGCTGCAGAGATCCTGTCTGTGTGGGGACAATAACACTCTGCTGCCTCATGGGGGTTCCAATTATAGCTTCATCGCAGCTATTCTCAGTCTGCATATGTACAGTCGGTGTGTGTGTGTGTGTGTGTGTGTGTGTGTGTGTGTGTGTGTGTGTGTGTGTGTGTGTGTGTGTGGTGGGTAGTCCATCTTCTGGCTGTGCACATTAAAGCAGGGATGTCCTTGAACCTTCAGCATGAACCGGTGCTGCAGCAGCAGCCGCTCTCTGTGTTTCTGTAGCTTTAAGCTCATTGGCTTGTCTTCCTCTCTGTGTGTTTGTGTTGCTGTCACAGTGACTATAGCTTGATAAATCGCTGCTACAGTTTCTGAATATTTTCATCTTTTGACGCAGCTGAAGGTCGACGTGTGTGCTCATCCTCAGAGCAGAAATTTTCTATGAACTCACACAATACCTGCATGATGCAGCCGCTGTAAAGCCATCATTTCTGTTTTAAAGAGACGTGAAAAATTTATTCTTATTACAGTCTAAAACATCTTCCACTCCAGCTACTTTCATTCTTACCAGTTAATGTACCAGAAAAGATACACATGTGTAGCACAAACCAGGCGTAGGAACCCTGAAAGTAGCCTGAGCAGAAATGTGTCATCAACCCAATACTTAGTAACCGTTACTCTAATACAGTAATCAATGATCTAACACAACACTGTCTACAATCTAATAATCATATTAAAGTTATGTGTGTTACTATTTTTGTGGCTGTATTTAGGGAAACTCATGCTTGAACTGATACAAACTGATATTACTGTTTGGGGCTCATTTAGCACAGCTGGTGATGGACTTGCATTGTATTTGAAATAATATTAAAGTTCACTTAACAACAACTGCTATGGCAACTTGGAAACAATATATGGTATTTGGTGTAGCTTTATTTATTTCACACATTTTTATTATTGCCTTTGCATTATTATGAAGCATGTTATAATAATGCCTGAAAAACAATCCAGTCTGTCTCCAGTAGACGATGGTTGTTTGTTTCAGTATTGCAGTGTAAAACGCTAACTTGTAGCACTTGCCTCTAAAGTCTGTAAATGATGCTAAAATGACAAACAATGATTCTAATATTGGTGCACAAAGGAGTGAAGAAGCTGGTGTGTAAATACAACCCAACCTCCTGGACTCTAAGACTTGGAAAGATGAATGAATGCAGTCAGATTCAGAGGAAGATCCTTCAACTGAAACATGGTGAAGAGACGAGCAGCTGATCGTTGTTCCGTTCCATCGATTATCAAATGTTTTCTGCTCGTACCTTTTAATTTTGAGCGAACTTTATTGGCTGTCTTCTTGATGTCAGCTGTGAGGTCCTCCAACTCCTGCTTGGTCTCTGCAGAGAAAGACAGGAAAAAACAGGTGAGGACGTGGCACACCGTTCTTCACCATTTTCCCGATGAAATCCTTATTTCATTTGAGAAATGATTTATAGTGAGTAGGTTTTAGACAACTAGGATTCTGTCCAGACTGATTAAATTCATTTGAAAAGATTTAAAATCGTATTTTCTTTCACAGAAAGAGGTCACTAGAGGCGCAGTAGAGGCGTCTCTGTTTCAGAGCATTTCTTGTGCATTTGGACCTGCAGAATAAAACATGGTTTCTCCCTGAGGCTGTTTGGAGGTTAAAGGTCGAGGGGAGGAGCGGTAACCTCCCATCATGTCAGCCATGTTGGAAGGTGGCGCCGGCGAGCAGAGGCTGCAGCAGTGCAGTCAGATTTACGAGCGCTGCAGTGCCTTTCAGCCGCTCTACCTCTGACTCAGCCTGCTCCTCGTCTGGCCGCGTCGCTCGGCTGCGGCTCGGAGACGCAGCGGGGCGAAGCTGCAGACCGCAGGCCTGCAGGCTGCCGCTGCCTCGACCCAGTAACGTCTGCCTGGATAAACGTCCTGCGAGGGCGCCCAGGAATTAATCTGGCATTAAAAATGCAGCAGAGACTGAATCTGATGAGCTGTTTCTGTTTCTGAGCTTCAGATTAATTATTAAACCCGTCAGCCTTTTGATGAACATTTCTGTCAGTGGCCGTTAAAGAGAAACCAAACTGTGGCAGAAAACCAGCTTTGTAACGCCTCAATCTGCCATCAGAGCGTTTAATTGGCTGGTCGTTAACCAATTAGCATTAATGGAGCAGATTGATGAGCAAACCTGCTGTCAGACTTTTATTTTCCCATCAATCAGCAGGTGAGTCGTCAGAAACGCAGTTAACACTCTCATCAATACAGTAATGATCAATCAGCAGCGGCTCCCATCAGTAACACCAAACATTCTGTCTCCGCGTCGTTTTTATTTAACCTCCAGGTTTTTGTGTAGGGTTTTGTGCAGCGCCCCCACAGGCCAGGAGGGGAACAGCTTGTCAGGTACCATCTGGCCTGTGGGTTAAAAATGGCCTAAATGTTGAGGCAGTTCCAGTTTAATGACAAAACTGCCAAGTTCTTCAGTTGATCAGTATAAAAGAAAACAGATTTAAGGTGAGTTTTTATTGCTGATCAATGACATAACTGATAGCAATTGATGAATGAAGTCACACGAGAAACATGTTGCATGAAAGAGAACTAGTTTATACTTCAGTGTGAACTTGGTTCAGAATGCTTAGGTGAACTATGAACATGAATGAATCATTTTAAAGCAGCTGAACTGAATTTAGAAATAGTCCAGAATGAACCGATGTTCATATACACATTAAAAATAACATTTTAAAACAACATTTTGTTTTAAAATACTCATGGGTGTATTTAGAGTAATGTTAAAATTGTATTTTTCAATTAAATGAATTTTAATATCTTGACTTAATTCATTTAGTAAAATTCTAAATCAATACAATTTTCAGAAATGTAAATATTTCATTGTTACTTTTCAATCAGCAATTTTCATTTTTTATTTTTTCATACATTGGATTTTAAGGAGTGCTTGTTTAGTTAAAAATGAACTGATTAGCTTTTAAATCCAAACTCAAATAACATGAAATAAAAATATTTGTTTTATGAAGTTCTTATTTTTGCCTGTCGGAAGTTTTCCTCTGCACTCTGTTTGTCCTCTAAAAGCCTTTAAAATGTTTGCATTTTTAACTTGAACTCAGATTTAGTTGATGTGATTAATGTGTGAAGCCAGCAGCTATAATTAAAATGACCAAACGGATAAAGATAACAGGATGAGTTAAGATGAGTTGTTAGGATCCTGAACGGCTGCGGTTTACATCTGTAGTCCTCGGCTCTCACTACAACTCCCATCATGCATTATTCAGGCTGAACTTGCTGGCAGCTGAGAGCAGCTGATCCAGAACTGAGCAGGAAGCAGGACAGGAAAGAGCAAAGAGACGAGGAACGACCACTCCGACAAACGTCACTGGGTTTTTATCATCCAGATCTGTGCGCTAACTTCCCGAAGCTAATAAAACGCATCCAGGATGGGAACAAAAACCAGGAATGTTGTTCACCTTGCTGGAGTTGAAATCAAACATTCTGACAAACCTCATATTTCAGTTTTCTTAAACAGAAAAACATTTTTACAGTCAGGTTTTTCCTCACTCTAAAAATATTTCTGTCTGAGTTTATTCTGCAGCAGTTTTGAATTATAGTCACGTTCACATTCAGGACCTGAGGGCTGGAGCAGCGATTCTGCTCAGAAACGTCACTCTGAACTCACCAAAGATGTTTTCTAAAAATCATTAGGGAAAAAGTCGCTACGTTTATTAAATATTTTTACAGTGACATAAATAAGGCTCATATTTATTTAAGGCCAGAGGTCGTTTCATTTGTATCTTATATCAACATTAAACTGGTGTTGGAAAGTTTTAAAAGCAGATATAATTTGAAATGCAGTTAACGCTTTAGCATTAGCTTCCCCTAAATACCAGTGTAGTGCTTTAGCATTAGCTTCCCCTAAATACCATGTTGGTGTAGTGCTTTAGCATTAGCTTCCCCTAAATACCATGTTGGTGTAGTGCTTTAGCATTAGCTTCCCCTAAATACCATGTTGGTGTAGTGCTTTAGCATTAGCTTCCCCTAAATACCATGATGGTGTAGGGCTTTAGCATTAGCTTCCCCTAAATACCATGTTGGTGTAGTGGTTTAGCATTAGCTTCCCCTAAATACCATGTTGGTGTAGTGCTTTAGCATTAGCCTCCCCTAAATACCATGTTGGTGTAACGCTTTAGCATTAGCTTCCCCTAAATACCATGTTGGTGTAGTGGTTTAGCATTAGCTTCCCCTAAATACCATGTTGGTGTAGTGGTTTAGCATTAGCTTCCCCTAAATACCATGTTGGTGTAGTGGTTTAGCATTAGCTTCCCCTAAATACCATGTTGGTGTAGTGCTTTAGCATTAGCTTCCCCTAAATACCATGTTGGTGTAACGCTTTAGCATTAGCTTCCCCTAAATACCATGTTGGTGTAGTGCTTTAGCATTAGCTTCCCCTAAATACCATGTTGGTGTAACGCTTTAGCATTAGCTTCCCCTAAATACCATGTTGGTGTAGTGCTTCAGCATTAGCTTCCCCTAAATACCATGTTGGTGTAGTGCTTTAGCATTAGCTTCCCCTAAATACCATGTTGGTGTAACGCTTTAGCATTAGCTTCCCCTAAATACCATGTTGGTGTAGTGCTTTAGCATTAACTTCCCCTAAATACCATGTTGGTGTAGTGCTTTAGCATTAGCTTCCCCTAAATACCAGTGTAGTGCTTTAGCATTAACTTCCCCTAAATACCATGTTGGTGTAGTGCTTTAGCATTAACTTCCCCTAAATACCATGTTGGTGTAGTGCTTTAGCATTAGCTTCCCCTAAATACCAGTGTAGTGCTTTAGCATTAACTTCCCCTAAATACCATGGTGGTGTAGTGCTTTAGCATTAGCTTCCCCTAAATACCAGTGTAGTGCTTTAGCATTAGCTTCCCCTAAATACCATGTTGGTGTAGTGCTTTAGCATTAGCCTCCCCTAAATACCATGTTGGTGTAACGCTTTAGCATTAGCTTCCCCTAAATACCATGTTGGTGTAACGCTTTAGCATTAGCTTCCCCTAAATACCATGCTGGTGTAGTGCTTCAGCATTAGCTTCCCCTAAATACCATGTTGGTGTAGTGCTTTAGCATTAGCTTCCCCTAAATACCAGTGTAGTGCTTTAGCATTAACTTCCCCTAAATACCATGTTGGTGTAGTGCTTTAGCATTAGCTTCCCCTAAATACCATGTTGGTGTAGTGCTTTAGCATTAGCTTCCCTAAATACCATGATGGTGTAGTGCTTTAGCATTAGCTTCCCCTAAATACCATGATGGTGTAGGGCTTTAGCATTAGCTTCCCCTAAATACCATGTTGGTGTAGTGCTTTAGCATTAGCTTCCCCTAAATACCATGTTGGTGTAGTGCTTCAGCATTAGCTTCCCCTAAATACCATGTTGGTGTAGTGCTTTAGCATTAGCTTCCCCTAAATACCAGTGTAGTGCTTTAGCATTAACTTCCCCTAAATACCATGTTGGTGTAGTGCTTTAGCATTAGCTTCCCCTAAATACCATGTTGGTGTAGTGCTTTAGCATTAGCTTCCCCTAAATACCATGTTGGTGTAGTGCTTTAGCATTAGCTTCCCCTAAATACCATGTTGGTGTAGTGCTTTAGCATTAGCTTCCCCTAAATACCATGTTGGTGTAGTGCTTTAGCATTAACTTCCCCTAAATACCATGTTGGTGTAGTGCTTTAGCATTAGCTTCCCCTAAATACCATGTTGGTGTAGTGCTTTAGCATTAGCTTCCCCTAAATACCATGATGGTGTAGTGCTTTAGCATTAGCTTCCCCTAAATACCATGATGGTGTAGGGCTTTAGCATTAGCTTCCCTAAATACCATGTTGGTGTAGTGCTTTAGCATTAGCTTCCCCTAAATACCATGATGGTGTAGTGCTTTAGCATTAGCTTCCCCTAAATACCATGATGGTGTAGGGCTTTAGCATTAGCTTCCCCTAAATACCATGATGGTGTAGGGCTTTAGCATTAGCTTCCCCTAAATACCTCTCCCCACATCATAATTCGATAACTAAAACCTCGATACAGATTTTAGATATGTTTCACATTAAAGTTTACAAAACACCTAAGAAGATTAACACTTTATAATTTATCGAGAAAAGTTCACTTAGTGAAAGCTTAGTGCGCTAAATATTTTTAGGGTTAGCAAAAATGCTAAGATGCTAAGCTAAAGGTTAGCTGCATCAGTGTGCCAACCGCTGGTCGCTCATCCCACAGTGATTAGGAGGAAGGTCTCGATTAGCAGTATTGATTACATGTTTTCTTTCGGCTTGATCACTCAGTCGACATGCAGCCTCTGGGTTTACAGCCTCAGGAGAAACTTTGTTTTCCTCTAACGATCATTAAAGCTCCCAACATGAACAATGCAGAGCTAATGGACGTTACTCACATGAGGCCGACCTGGGCGTCTCCTCCGACTTAATGTGACGTCATGCAGTTTAAAAATCAGGATCATGCAGAAGAACAGAAACACGAACAGATGGAAAACAAACAAAACGTCATTTTTCATGCAGAAGAAACTAAACCACATGGACAAAACATGCAGGAGGAAAACAGAGTTTTCTGTTAACATGTCGGGTTTCTGGCTCTGACCGACCCAGAAAGGTCCAGAACCGGACTCAGTCTGGACATCGACCCGGGTGATCTGCTGTGGACCGGGCTGCAGGCGTTGGCGCTGAGGGAGTCATTCCTGCTGAGTCAGAACCGTCCGGGTCAGACCGGGTCACGACTTCCGGTCCAAACCGCTTCCGTTTCGTCTTCTGGTGTCAGGAGCGGCGGCGTGGGCCGGGTCGGACGCGGCACTGGAGAGCTCATCAGAACCCGTTTAACGGGATGAGGCTTTCCGTACGACAATCAGAACCTCCCGCAGGGTCTCTGTCTGGTCCCAGAACCAGGCTCAGGTGTTCAAAGCCTTCTGGAGCCTGTAGGAACCAGAACCACTCCCGCTTCGGGTCTGAGGATAGCAGCACAGAACGGAGGAATGAAATGTGACAGGAAGCTCCAAAGATCCAGCAGCCAATCAGGAAGCTGGATAAGCTCTGAAATCACCGGATCGGGAATGTTTACCTGCGAATCGGACCGATGGATCGGGAAAAGGGAAAGATCGGGAATAACGGTACTAGACTCTCCTGACCCGGAGGGGATCATTCGGGTCATAACGCGGATCTGTGGCCCAGAGGAATTTACAGCCATTGGATTCTGCTGATCTGATGGACGGAATGAGGAGAATCCGGGCCACTGAACCCAAACATGAACAGAACCAAGCAGAGATCCACCGAGCCACCGAGGAACCGGCAGCTCAGCGTTGGGGCTGAAATCTGCTTCATGTTTGGGATTTCTCCCACTCAGCTGGAGAGACGGGAACGCCTGCTGTGGGAACGTCCAGGAATAAAATTTGCAGCATGTCGGACTTTCTGGACCCGAGGCTGACCCTCCGGTTCTGCAGAACCGTCCCCACGCCGGAACTGGACCCGAACAGAACTTTGTGGACGAGCTTCGGCGGTGCAGACAGAGGGAAGAGGCTGACTTACTTTCGTCCGGGTTCGGCGCGGCCAGGATGGCGCTGTGCTGCTTCTTCACCTGCTCCACGTCCTCAGACAGCTTCTCTATGCAGCCCCGGATCTCCTCCACCTGAACGGACATTTCCGTAACTTCAGTCAGTTTCAGCATCTGGACTGAATAGAGTCCATTTCTTCTGTTTTAAGGAGGCTGGAGGTATTGCTGGCAGTGCTGCCCTGAAATTATTCCCACATCATCCCACAGCAAAACGTCATTTGTGTAATTTAACATGATCCTGATGTTATCCGACGTTATCAGAACCAAACCGCTTCATCCGAACATCGGGATCATCTGATGTTGTCATTTTATCTGAAAATTATCCCACTTTTATTGAGAAACCTCTACATAAACCCCACGATCTCTACATAACCCCCACGACCTCTACATAACCCCCACGACCTCTACATAACCCCCACGACCTCTACGTAACCCCCACGACCTCTACATAACCCCCACGACCTCTACATAACCCCCACGACCTCTACGTAACCCCCACGACCTCTACGTAACCCCCACGACCTCTACGTAACCCCCACGACCTCTACATAACCCCCACGACCTCTACGTAACCCCCACGACCTCTACATAACCCCCACGACCTCTACGTAACCCCACGACCTCTACGTAACCCCCACGACCTCTACATAACCCCCACGACCTCTACGTAACCCCCACGACCTCTACGTAACCCCCACGACCTCTACATAACCCCCACGACCTCTACGTAACCCCCACGACCTCTACATAACCCCCACGACCTCTACGTAACCCCCACGACCTCTACATAACCCCCACGACCTCTACGTAACCCCCACGACCTCTACATAACCCCCACGACCTCTACCTAATCCTTGTTGCCTTGGTGATGCACCTGTCCATGTTTCTGCGTCTCACCTGTTCAAAGAACTCGTCCATGAAGTGGTCCCTGTCCACCTGCACCACCTCTTCATCATCATCGCTGTCCTTAGCCTGCGGACACAAACAGGAAGAAGATGAGGCTCCTGATTGGCTCCCTGGTGAAATAAACTCTGACATCACCACAGGTGAGTTTCAGCCAGTGAAACTGGCTGACCAATCAGAGCTCTTCTGACCATCAGTTTCGTTTCCATCAGGATTTATTCCTGTTGGCAGAATCCGCCTCCAGAGAAATCTGTCCCTAAAATCTCAAATATTTCCAACCTCCGATCCATGAGGTCGATCAGTGAGCCGGGAGAAGCTCACTGCTGGAAACGTTGAATAATTAAACACGTGAAAGGACACAGTCCAGCAAACTGATCCTTCAGAGTCTTGATGTTCTGGTTCTGACTCAGATTTGTTGCCCAGCTGCTGATTGGAGGCTCAGTCCAAACCCGTTTCACTTTGAATTTGCTCAGAAACGAGCTGAAACCATGCCGGCGGCGGGCAAATGGCGGCCCGGCGGCGGCGGCCCAGCGGCGGCCCGGCGGCGGCCAGGCGGCGGCCCAATCAGCTTCCTCCGTCAGCGACAACCGAACAAACGGCTCTGTGTGTCGGGTCACCTTCAGCTGGGCCAGAGCAGCAAGGCCTGATGGGAAATATTTCACCTCCTTGTTTATTGACCTGAACAGAACCAGTTTAGTCCCAACGATCAACCGGGCTGAACGCAGATGGAGCTGAACTGGGTCAGACCGGGCCACAGAAGGTTCTGCTGAGGTTCCAGGTTTTACTGCAGCTTTTTGCAATTGGATCTTACAGAATCTAACTGGATCGACATGGTGCTCACTGGTTCTGACAGGATCTAAATATGTGTTCTTCAGCAAACATCATCCCCGATCCGACTGAATCCCATCAGCTCCAGACTCAGATGTGTCGTTCAAGCCGTTTCCAAGGATCTCTAGATTTCTTCAGAGGTTTTTATCTGAACCCCAGATGTTCAGAACCGACCCAAACAGCAGCTAGTGAAACCTGAACAGGTTTCTGATCTAAATCTTTTTTCTCGGTGGATCTGTTGGTTCTCTGCGCTGCGACGAGGTTCCAGCTTCCTGTTTCATGTTCAGGTGGAAACAGAAAATGATTTTCTGGTTGAGTTTTACTGTATCATGTTGTGCAGAACGAAGTGCGAACATGCAGATGGTTTGTCGTTCCCGATCGCTTGGGGCTAAAATGCAGCTCATCTGAAACTGGGTCGTTCTACTTCTTCAATTCACAGCTTTAAAAATAATAAGTAACGAGCCGCAGCCGCAGAGCCGCAGAGCCGCAGCCGATCCTTCCTGCCACAGGCAGCAGGTTCTAATGGAAATGACCCAAAATGGCCGCTGACGTCCGAGTCCTCAAAAAGTCCAGCTTTCTGTCCTCAGACTGTTCTAGCCGTCGGTCCAAAACCTTCTGGGCTCGGATCTGGTTTCAGGGTTCAGTTTGGGTCGGGCTTCAGGGCCAGAAAACGCAGCGGCGTGTCATCGAGTGCCTGACTCAGACAGGGTCCCTGAAGGCACCGCGGGCCCCTCCCAGTGGAAATCCTCGGCAGACGATGTGACAGCAGAGGACTCGATAACCTTCAGAGAATCGGCTGATCTGAGCGACTGCAGGATGTAGACCGAGCCCAGACCGATACCGCCTCAGATAAACATCCATCAGGAAAATTAGGTTAGAGGAAAAACTCCTCCGAAAATATAGAAACTAAACACTTAAAGAAAAGGACCAACCAGAAAAATAGAAATCCCAGAACCAGAAGTAACTAAACTTAAACATTGAAAATTTAATACCAACAATTTCTTACACAGAAAAATATTATTACAATATTTAAAAAAACACATATGAACTGAAATATGAGATTTAGCAAAAATAAATCTGGATATAAAAGACGGGGTCGCCCGACCCAGCGGGGCAACATAGAAACAAACAGGACAAACTACCAGTTAACCCAACGTGGTTTTGGACTGTGGAGGAAGCCGGAAAACCCGGAGAGAACCCGCCGCCCACAGGGAGAACATGCAGACTCCGTGCAGAAAGACCCGGCCGGGAATCGAACCCAAGACCTTCTTGCTGCAAGGCAACAGAGCTACCAACTGTAAAAACACTGTTAAATAAAAATATTCTTTCTGAGAGACATCAACCGGACCGAGAACCAGAACTGAGCCGCAGCACATAAAGACACATGTGGTCTGGTTCTGCAGAACCTCTGGAGCGTCTGTAAAGACTCTGCCCCGCCTGATGGGGGCGCTGCTCCACATTCTACTGACCCTGATGGCCCAAATCTGGTTCCTCTGGGAACTTCCAACAAACAGAACAACACAGAGATCCAACAGATCCTGAGCAGAACCGGGGAGTCCGGAATGGAATCAGGTCCGATTGATTCCAGGATATCGACAGAACCGTTCGCATTAATATCTGAAGACGAGTCCATAGCAGCAGCAGCAGAGAGGGATGATGATGAAGATGGTTATGATGATGGAGGACGCTCAAACTGGACCTGCTGGTTCTGGTTCTGTGAGAGATTTAAGGGATTAAAGTTTTTCTTGTAATCACTAAGTGGAGCCAAACATTAACGCCTTAATTTCAGTTAATGAATTTAAAAGTGAAATTAATCTCATTTTAACAAAGAAAAGTTCCAGCAGGAACCTTTGTATTGCTGTGTTTCTGGTGGGACTGTAAATCTGACGCACAAGCGATTCCTGATCAGATGAAGCCTTTTTGTTTCTGGTTCTCCAAATTAAAATCTGGAAAAAATCCTCCAAGGTAAACTGGGATGATGGAAAAACAGGAAAACGGATCAGAGTGATGACCGGGTCGGGTAAGGTCCGGCTTCCTGTGACCCGGTTCTGATGGACCGGGTTCATCACAGCTGCAGCCTAAAAGCTGCTGCTACTCATTGAAATGATCCATTTTTTTCTACATCTGTCAAAATTGTAAAATTTTGAGAGAAAATGTTTGAAAATGAATTAAAACTGCAGCTTTTCTGATCTGGTCTCCTCTAACATTTTCTAGGAGGAAACTTTCTTCTTGTAACAGAAATCTGCCGTTTAATGAAAGGATCTTAAATCATCTTTGTGGCAACAAATATCACAATCAGACGATTTGAACACTTTATTCAGTTCAGTTGAATCAGGAGGAACAGTTTGTCCAGTTCATTCCCGTCTCTCCTCTTCCTCCTCTTCCTTGCGTCTCCTCTTTGCTCTCACGTCACACACGCTCACATCAGGAGGCTGACCTCAGGTGTCACAGCGAGCTGTGATGCCAGCAGAGTGTGTGTTTGCATGCATGGACACACACTCTGCATGTGTGTGAGCAGCAGAGCACGCCAGCAGCATCTTACCCACAGTCCTCTGGGAGCGCTGGCTCTTCCCAGAGTCCATCTGTGATTCCAGTCTGACTTTAACAGCCAACAGGAATCTTTCCTGTTTCCTGCTGATCCTGACGCTCAGAATTCAGAGGCTGTCAGGAGCTCCTGAATGCACCACCAGAACTGCATCAGCTACTGAACGATTGGATCTTCAGAACCAGAACAAGTGAAAATCCTCCTGATTCCGCAGTGAGAAGTTTTCACTTCAGCTGCAGAGACGATCTGAATCTCCAAGCAAACTAGAAAACGGCAGTGACTGCAAAGATGAACCAAAAGTTAAAAAGGTGCAAAACAGATGCAGAAAAACAACGAAAAGGTTCCAGAAGAAAATACAAGCAAAAAATCCTGCAGAGAAAAGAACAAATCGAAAAGAAAAGTATTTTAAAAGTTGAAAAAAGACGCAGAGCTTCCAAAAACTGTCTGAAAATTGAAAAGCACAAGGAGAGGCTGATAGAGTCGTTTCTTCACTTCTTTGCTGATCAGGATCCTGATCCTGAATCCGTCTCAGGGTTTGACTCCTCCCACGTCCTCTGTCGCTTCATCCAGCTAGCTGTCACTGGAAAACGAGCTGACCCCCAATCTGACCGAACCTTTGAGAGAAACTAACGATGCATTTGTAAAAACTTTAACATATAAATGTATTTAAATTGCAGCCAGGACTTTAATGTATACATTTTGATTTATTAATTGCACAGATTTTGATGTGTGAAAAGTTTTTCCCATATTTTCACAGAAAAGTCCCAAAACGGAGCCTTTACATATCTGCTTGTTCCTGGTACGACTGTAAATCTGACGCACAAGCAGCATCCGCTGACAGTGAAGGACGATGTCTTTAGTATTTGTTGCTCCATGAAAACCCGAATCCAGTCATCTGAGAAAAACAAAAAATCACTTGTAGTTTCTGCAAAATGCAAAACCTTTTCTTCCATGAGGATTGAAAAGTCAGTAAACTGATCACGAATGATCTAAAACTTATTAGGAACCATCAGAAAACATTAAGATCTTAGGTTACGTGATGTCAGCGCTAGCCAGATAATGCTTCTAAAGGCTAGACCAATCAAAATGCTTGAAAAAAAACTTTGCAACATCCAGCCAATCAGTGACAAGCTCTTATGTATCATTGACAAAAATCTGCAGTTCACAGGTTTCTTTTATTTTCATGCTAATATAGCTGCAAGAGGAAGTGCAGGTTGGTGACGATCCGACATGTTTCACCATCTGATTTTAAGTTTTTGGCACATTTATTTCTCTCCAGGGTAAAACTTCAGAGGGTTTTATTCTTCCTGAAAAATTATTTTTAAAGGTGAATATTTTTTATTCATTTCTTGTTTGTTTTTTCAATAAACAGAAAAATCAAACTCTTTTGACTGATCAGGGGAGTTTGATGATCAGCCAGATGCTGACTGATCATCAATATCATGCTAGAATAATAAAAAAAGTTCAAGACAAGAACAGTAGAATCCATCCCCATTAGCAAATCACCCACAGCCACTACAGCTGCTTTTCAGAAGGAGCCTCCTGTCCCTCAGCAGTCTGAGGGGGACGTGGACGGAGGAAACAACCGTGTCTGCCGTCTGTGTCATCACTGGACAGGTGAAAGATGAGGGAGGTTTCAGGTGTGGGAAAAAAATGTCTGACTTTAATATTTGCTCTTTAAATTGGACGTCATGGAGGATTTTAATAAAATCTGTCCTGGAAAACAGAATCATCTCCATCAGTCCTGGAATCAACGTGGGGCTGATGGCTGTTCAGACGGGGCTGGGATTTCCTGACGCTCCTGAAGGCAGCGTGTCGGTGGTTTAGAGCAGAACCGCAGAAACCTGGTTCCGATTGTTTCTGCTGAATTATTGAAGCCGTGACAGGCCGGAGGTTCTGAGGGACCAACATAAGACTTGGTGTATGTCCTGACTCTGTGAACACATAAAGGACGGAAAGGTCATAATCAATAATGACCTTTTAGCCAAGTGGACGGCGGCCCACAGGAAGTGAGTCCAGCATCCTGTCTCCTGATTTAATAGAATCTGCAGAAATTAAAATTCTTAAAAATTGTATTTATCCCAAAGCAAAATTAACTCATCCAAAAGTCTTCAGTCATTGTGGATGGTGATGCTCCAGTAGCAGTCAGTCTTGCAGTGATTCTAAAGAGTCCTCTGACTGAAGACTTGCTGTGCAACAGTTTTATGACCATCAGCTAACAGCTCAATATCAAGGCAAGCAGAAATCTTCCAGCTGCAAATCATCCAGAACCAGAAGCAATAAATGTCCAAACGTTCAGTCGACCAAATAAATTTACAAAACCCTTCAAAGCTTAAATGTAAGGAGTGGGCGTGTCTACTTGCACTCTGAGCTCTGATTGGACGGATAACAGGAAACATGAAAGATCAAATCAAACAGTAGGTTCCAGCAGAACCAGATATTGGTGCTGTGACCCGGTCCATCCTGCGCAGTGCGGCTCATATGGTTTCAAGATTTAAAGAATGGGTTTCCCAGATTAACTCAACACCATATAACGTTGTAAAAGATCCAAGCGAACACGACCGCAGCAGAACGCTTCCCGACCAGAACCAGGCCCCACTGTCTTATTGGGATTTTCTTCTCTAAATATGACATTACATTTTTCAACAAAATGGATTTCTTCTTTCTAAAAACATGTTTGATTCCAGCGCTGCAGAGCTGAAGCAGGACCAATACCTGACACACCAGGTGTTACAGCTCACCTGAGCATCAGCGCTACACCTGGGATTTATTCATAGATGCTGCATCGTTAACCGCCTCTTTATTAAGCGACCAAAGCTCAGAAAACTACAGAAAACCTGAACAAAGTGGCTTCGTAGCAGATAAGTAATTAGGTGAGGCTAATTGGATGATTAAGACTTTTGTACACATACACACACACACATTCTTGTTCTTCTACCTGTCTGAGGACTTTCTATCGACTACCATTGATTTTAGAAACTGCTTTAATGCCTAATCCGACCTCTAACTGTAACCAGTCTAACAGAGCGAAAACTGAAAGAAATGCAAAACGGTTGGGAATCACCAAGGAAATATGAAAAACTTAAACACCAAAATAAACAATCAAAAATAAATTTGACCGCAAACACTTAAACACCAGTGAGATTCAACAGATTAAGAAACAGACTGAATAGCAAAGATTGTTTCTAAAATAAAAACTGAACAAAAAAACTCAAACAGGAAGAAACTGAAGAATGTAAACAACACAAAATCACAACTACAATTTTAATTCCACATTAATATTGTAAAATCAAAAAATGAAACAAATCCAAATTAAAAAGGGAAAAGAGACAAAACTAAATACAAATTGTGCACATATATGGAATCTTTAATTAAAGGTTTATTTTTTTCTTTCTTCTTTTATTGTAATTTTTTTAATTTAATATTAGTTTATTTGTTTTATCTCTGATTCATTATATTTTTTCTATTTTGTAAAGTTTCTTTATCTACTATATTTTATACATTTTTGTCTATTTTCTACTTCATTCAATGTTTATTTTCACAATATTTATTTGTTACAATTTATTTCATATTTAGTTACATTTATTTGGTTTCCTTTTAGTTTTTTCTGTCTTGGATGGATTTATTCTGAGTAACCAGTTGTGATGTCACCAATTCCTCAGACATAAAGAAGTCTGTATATTAAAATAAATGAAATGCAACAGAAACATTTCAAACGTTGGTCTGGAGGATGAAATGTTTGTCCTGAACTGACCTGATGTGACCTCAGCAGGGTGGGAGGATGAGACAGCTCAGGTGATGAAGGTTAGTGACTCACTTCCTGTCAGCAGGGAGGTGAAGCTGAGGCTGTTTGATTCATTCACCTGCACAGCCCTGACTGGGTCACCTGGTTTCTCTGTTTGCTCATTCATTCCCTCCTTCCTGCCATCTCTGAGTGAAACGATGATGATGATGATGATGAGGTGGTTTCATGTCCATCATCATCATCATCATCATCATTTATCATAAATTAAAAGCTGCGGCTACATGAACATTCAAAGAGGCTGATTGCTATGAAGCTAATGTACTGTTTCTGTGTTTTAATGTTAATTATTTAAACCTTTTCCTACTTGATAATGGTTCCTGCAGCAGGAAGTTTTCCACAACAATTCATTTCCTGTTTCTAAAGTGTCCTGATTCCACTTCCTGTTCCCCAGAGAGCCGTGTCGTTAGCATTAGCATGTTAGCGTTCAAGCTGCAGCTAAAGAAGACCTAAACCTCATTTTTGTCTCACATGTGATGCAGATTTGAGACTTTTTTCTGTTTTCTTCTAATTTAACATATTTCTGTTTAAATTAAAGCCCTTTGGACTGTAACTGTTTCCCAGAATCCTCCTCTCTGGGGCACAGTGTGACCCCAGGAAGCAGGGTGAGGTCAGAGGAAGAGGTGGGAATTCAAACAGCAATAAATTACAGAAAATTTTTGAATATAAACAAATTCAGTTTTGTAGTTCCACATGGATATACATCCATCCTCAAGACGCTAATAATCTTTAATCGAGATGTTCCGATCGATCGGCCACCGATCGTAGTCAGCTGTTTTCTGTGAACAAGTGTGATCGATCACTGTCTCTTGCTGCCGGTCACAAGATCTCTACCGGGCTTACCGGGTTAAATAAAGGAAATAAAAATAAAAAATGTAGTCAAATATGTCTATTATGTGTAAATTAGATCAATTTATTGCAGATAATTTGTTAGTTTTTCCAGATAATATAGCATCATTTATACCGAAAGCAAAAAATTAACAGGCGATCGGAGCGTCCCTAACACTTAATAATCTCCTTATAAAAGCTTAAACATTTAATAGTGGTGCTAATCACACAGGTTATTATGATGAGTAGCCATGGAAACAAGGTGTAGTTTTACAACTGGGAACAGCTGATTAGCATCTCAAAAGCTCAAATAATCCCTGAACTTTGACCCCAAATGCCAGAGGAGTTGAAACGGAGGTTTCATGGTGCACAGAGAGGAGGAGAATGTTCAAGCCATCTTATCCCCTACTCCAACATCTCTAACAAAACACAGGATTTAAAGAGGGGCACCAAAAGTAAAGGAGATGAGGGCTTAGCAACTGATGATGTCATCAGGAATTTCGTCTCTGATTCCTGGGTAACAAGCTGTTAGCATGTTAGCATCACACATCAACAGTCTTCAGTCAGAGGCCTCGTCAGATAGACTGACTGCTACTGGAGGCGATACTTCCGGCCCGCAGCATCACCATTCTGTGAGCCGTTGAAGGTCTTTGGATAGTTTGAGTTATGACATGTAGTCTCCTTTTGGGATAAATAGTTTAATTTAAATTTAAAACGATGATGAGACTGTGAAGAGAGACGTATGTCCAACCAAAGTCAGCATCAGAACTGTGTGGATATTTTTTATGAATTTCTCTTCGAAACACAAACAGGAAGTTCATGTTGTCTGAAACGAAACATGAGTTCATTTTCCTTCCAAACCACAAAAACTGAAAATGGGAAAATCAAAATTTTTGGTCAAAAATACTCAAAGTGTTGTACGGAGCCACTGCAGTTTGACCAATCAGAGCAGTCCTGCTTCAGCATCACCTGGATAATAAGTGAACCCTAAAAGTTGCTGATGCTGCAGTTCTGAGCAATAAACCAGAACCATAATTTGGTTTTGGGAGCTTCATTTATCAGACGGCATCAAAAGTCTTCATTAGTCTGACTGCTCACTGAAAGACAACTGGAGCTGTAAAACGATCACATCTTCTGTGACATCACTATGACATCATCATCTCTCTATGTGAAGCCAGAAACCAAAACCTGACAGTAACCAACAATAACGAGCTGCTCTCTGATTGGCTGAGAAAACAAACGAGCGAGCTTTAAAGATGAGGAAGAGGAGGGTGAGAGGAAGAGGCTCGCCGCGCTGCTGAAGGGGGAGGGGTGCATCTATCATGCATGATGGCACACACACAACACACACATAAAGGAGGCCAGGGACAACAGACAGCCCATTGAGCAGAGGCAGCCATGAGTCACATGACCGTCTGACGGACCAATCAGCTTCCAGGCTCCAGGATGCCTTCAGTCAGCAGATGCATGGAGGAAAGTCAGAGCATCTCCACTGGCAGCTCGTTTTCAGAGGGTTTTTCTCCGCAGACATCAGAGAGTCGACTCTGCTCATGTCTGGATGCGTTTTTAAAAATGAGGACAAAATGTCCTGAAAACGGAAAAATCCGACATGATCTCCAAACTTCCAGATGTTTGTTTAAAAGAAACAACCCTGTCAAGCAGGAGGCTGGGAAATCATCCCCAGCAACAATATTTCAATGCAAAACAAAATGAAAGTCAGAATTTGAGATTTCAGCAGTGAAAAGATTTTGAACCCAGTATTTGTGCAGATTGTGCCTCCATCTTCACATTTGAAGAAAAACTACATGAGACGCCGACAGAGAGAATGAAACTATTTTTTAGCTTAATTTTTCTGCGTTGGATAAAAAATTATTTACATATTTTTTATTATTTTATTGTTCACGATTTATGAGGTGATTTTATGTTTTTACATTTATTATTCAGCTCTTTTGCTCCTTACATCTGAAGATTTCTGGGATTTAAATCAAAGCTGTTAAAAGCAGCTCAGGATATTTCAGGAGAAACTTTAAATATTGTCAAAAAATCCCCAAACCTATCAGACAAGATCTTTTATTGCTTTGCAGGTAAATTTTTAAAAACCAGAAATAATAAAATACTTAAAAGAATCATCAGAGATGAAATCATGACCAATAAAATTACTTGGGATCATTGGGTGCGGCCATGATGGATTATGATCACAAGAACAACCTCTCATTTCTTCATCTTCCCATCAAAACTTCAAGTGGTGACGCTACTGTTCTTTACTGTCTCCTTCATAAAGCAGAAAAAGGATGAAGATGAAACGTCTGAGCAGAACGCACAAGCGAGGAAACAGAGACACAAGATGAACAACATGCAGACGCACCAAAGGGAAACTAGGGAGACCAATAACCAAACAGTTTCCTAACTGGAGAACCCAGAAAGAACCCAAATGGAACAAAATCATATCCAATAGTTCACAAAGCGTCTGCAGCGTTCATATCGCATTTCATCCAACTTTTACTTTGTTCATGTGAGACATGCATCATGATTCTGCATCAGAAGAAGACAAATGGTAAATCTGGACATAAAAATAGTCAGAAAATGATAATAATGAACTGAAATCAGTCTGAGTCAGTGAAGGCATCACAACCCAACCCCATCACTCCTGGTCCAATTCCACATCCAAGTAGAACCGGGTCAGAATCGGGTCAGAACCTGCAGTTAGTGCTCTGCGAAAGGCCTCTGCTGTTAGCTTCTTATCAGCTTGGTGGCCATGCTGTCACCCAACAACTTTAAGATCCATCCAGAGTGCTGTGGCGGCCATCTTTACTGCCATAAACAGAGCTCTCCGGCGGATGGCTATGTTCTTCTTCAGCACCTTTTTGGGGTCAGAAGCTGTTCTCAAAAAATAATTTGGAATAGGACATCAAGACCTGCTAAGTGAACATGAGAGTTCTCCTTCAACCCATCAATAGGGTGAAGTTCCTGCTGCATGTTTTCCAACCTGTCTTCTCCTCCAGCTTTTCTTTGACAGCCTGACGTTTCTGCAGCGGCTTTGACGTGCCGCTCTGCATCCTTCTGATCTGCTTCCAGTCCTGCTCTCTGATTTCTGCACGTGGAGCGGTGAAAGTGACCTCTGTGCGCCTGCAGAAACGCTGAGTTTGTCCTTGGTGTGGCTGCTGTTTGACCACTGAGGCAGGAACACCAACAGGGTTCAAATCCTGCAGATTTTACTGCAGCTCAACACATCACAGATACTGCATTGGAATATTGGTGAGTCGGCAGACACGTGTTCATTTTCACTGCAGACTTTAACTTAGTTTTAGTCAATCCTCTTGTCATTTTAGTTTTAGTCTAGATTTTGTCCAATAAGCTTTTGTACAGATCAGCTGTTTTTCTGGTCTTTTAGAGAAAAAATCATTTCACATACTGATAAAGTGATCAGCAAAGGATGCAACATTTTGAAGCACACAGACTAAAAAAAAGCCTTATGAAGAAAAGCAAATCTAAATAGTTTTAGAAAAGGAAGTTATAAATATGACAAGCATTGCATGTACAGATTAAACCCCACTAACCATGTTTCCATCAACTGTTTATTTTGTACATTTTGAGGTGTTGCATTCAAAAACATTGGAAATGGCAAAATTCAAAATAACTTCCTCAATTTTGCAAAAATGTTTTAACTTGAGGTGGCTTTTGGCTAAAAGAATTAATAATCTAAAGAACATGCGCATGTTAAAAACATACATTTTTGTACACAAAAAAGATACGACGATACAAACATATTTGCTGGTGCAGCACATATGTTACCATCCACTAGTTGGTCTGTGCCTTACCAGAGGCACCGAACTCAGAAAATTTCAGTCCACAGCGGCAGTCGGGTTAACCAAATGTTTTTCTTGGCGGGAAAATTCAATATTTCAACAGAAGAACTCTAAACATCATCTCTGACCTGCAGACTGAACTAAATGCATCTTGCTAAACGGGAGCTGACGATGCGTTGGAGGCTTTGGAGTATCTGGCAGACGGAGTGCAGATTCTCAGAGACTCTTCCTGTCTTCTGACTGCTTTAATCTGAGAAATGTTCCATGATTCAAAACTTGGGCTGAAGTGATGCTTGTAGTTCCAGTTGGAAGGGATGATTTTTTTCTGAGATTTGTGGTTCATGCTAATTTGCAACCTGCATAGCATCAGCATATTACAAAATCACACTCTGCTTAGGCTGATTGATTCATTCCAAACCAGTGACATTTTAAAAGTTCTCTCAAAATTAGCCTGACAACTGTTAAGAATTAAAAAGTGAAGAACTTGATCTTAGCTCGTTAATTAATTCTTAGTCCCGAATTCCTGTGTCTGTGTAAGTGTGCAGAGAGAAAAGAGCAATCGTACGACGTCAGACTTCAGATATTCAGAGTTTTATCCAGAGAAAATCAATCCAAGAAGAACTTTACAATAAGCCTCTCACCTAGAGCAAAAGTCCAAGATATTACAAAACAGAGACAAAGAACTGAGTAAAAAAGACAACAGATTAACAGAAGATGCATCCTCCGGGAAAACTCTCACCCAGCACAAAGAGATTCCAACTTCTGCTGTAAACCAAATCATTTTATAGAATGCGTAATCTCATCATTTAAATATATGTATTAGGAGGTGTGTTCTTTTCCTTTGTGTGGGCTGTCTCAATGTTAATTTTATTACCTCCTGCTAAAGAGCCCCAAAAGCAGATATACGGAAAACCCTTCTCGTATCAGACGCTGTCCAGTTTGATAT